AAAAACAGTTTGATCCCAATTCTCACAACACACACACACACACACACACACACACACACACACCATGGTCCACACACACGCCTTTAAAATGTGCACTTGGCATATATTACTGTATTGACTTTAAAATCTATGTTTCGACTTTAAAAGCAGCCAAGTCCTCAGCGTCCCCAAAGCCCTTCCGGGGTCTCCTCTCCCTGTCTGCAGCTGGGTCACAGCCATCTCAGTGACACACACAGGTGGTGGCGCTCTAGAAAGCCAGGCAACCAAGCCCAGGCCTCGGGGGCAGCATCTGGGGCTCTGTCTCATCCTGTGGTCATCCAGGCTGATCCCCGTGGCCCACCTCAGGTCGCTCCTGAGAAGCTGTGGGAATGGCTGCCTCAGGGATAGTCCCGGGCACTCCAGGTCTTGGGCAGCAGGATTGATGCCTGGCCCTACAGCTCCACCTCCTGCAGTGGCCAACAGGCAAGAGGCCTTGTTTACCAGAGACCCTGTTTACAGAGGTGCATTGCAGACCCAGATGGCCTCACAAGCTTGGTGACAGCTTGGCAGATCTGCAGAAAGCCAGCGCTGTCCCTCTGCACAGCCCAAGAGCACAGAGCTGGAATTCCCCATCCTCTTCAGGGCCTCTTCCTTGCAGGGATGTCAGTAGGGCTGAGTGGGAGTGGCCCTGTGCAGGCCTCCCGGGCATGCCTCGATCCTGTGCAGGCCTCCTGGGCATGTATGACCCCTGTGCAGACCTCCTGGGTATGCCTCAACCCTGGGCAGGCCTCCTGGGCAGGCCTTAGCCCCTGTGCAGGCCTTAGCCCCTGTGCAGGCCTCCTGGGCATGCCTGTCTCCTTTGTAGGCCTCCTGAGAATGCCTGACCCCTGTGCAGGCCTCCTGGGCATGCCTCGACCCTGTGCAGACCTCTTGGGCATGCCTCGACCCTGTGCAGGCCCCCTGGGCAGGCCTCAGCCCCTGTGCAGGCCTCCTGGGCATGCCTGACCCTGTGCAGGCTCCTGG